AAAAATAATAGCCGACACTCATCGAGCATTTATGAAAAAGCTTGGCTACGCAGGCATTCGCGAGCATCACTTGGGACTGCAGTGGTATAAAACAGAGCCATCGGTATCTTTGTTGCGCTTTCTGGCAAACTTTGCCCACCTCGATGGCGCTCCACCCACCAATAGCATATGACCTCCCTTTCATTCTCGAGCTCTATCCACTTTTTTCCAATCTCTATGGCTTCATGTAACCGAGTTATAATGTTCTCGTGGGTAACTCCGCCCACTCTGGCGCACGCCCCACCCACCTACTGATGTTGACCTCCTTTCGTTGTCAGACCCTACTTGTATTTTTGCCCAAGTTATGATGCCTCGTGTCCAACTCCGCCACCTCAGTGCAAAGCTACACCCTCCAACTGCAATAGCAGCTAACCTCCTTCCCTCGCCAACCTCGACCCACTTTTTCCCGACCCATGGAACTCCGTGGAAATGAATTATGGGGATCTGCAGTAAACACTCCCCACTTAAGGGCATGCTCCGCCCACTATGGGCAGGTTTCTACACAGCTCAGGTATGCCGAGAACACCTTAGATATTGCTCCCTTACACCGATTTTTCTGCTCCATAGGCTTTCTCCCTAACCGAGTTATGAATTTTTCATTAGCTTGCCCATTTAGAGAACGCTCCGCCCACCACGGGCAGGTCTCCTAATTCGATATTAACTCAGAGCACACCTTCACCCTTTTTGCCCGCTCTTCGGGCTGTTCTGTAACCACTCGAAACTTTTGCCGATGACAACGCCCAATTTGGCGCGTGCCCCGCCAAGTGTGTTTTGCACTTCTTGACCTACATATGCCCCCCCCCCTCTTCCCAAACTTGACACGGACTAGGTAGGTGGTTTCTCAGGTGGTACCAAATTTCATGAAAGACTGGCAAACAGACACACAGACAGCGCAGTATGTATAGTAGGGATGGGAGGTAAACTATCGCTGTGCGGGCACGAGACAAACGCAGACCCAGGGCAAGAGCGTAACTTTCTGGGCAAGAAGACAAGAGGATAAAAGTGTGCGGTATAAATTGCTCGTAGTGCGCACCACAACTTTGCCGCGTGCGGATCCATGGCGCGTACCTTTTGACCCTTACTGTGTTGTATTTATTACATGACAAGCATGTGTAATGCCAGATGGCCAAGAAATAAAAGATAAAACGTACAACTTCAAAATACAACAGGCGAACATTGAAGAGACTATAGAATGAGCTTTTTGTAAAAAAAAAGTAGGGCGGGAACGGGCTAATCACTGGAGAATGCGGTTGAGATGAGATTTAAGGATGTTTACGGTTGCTGGAGGCGAGCTTTGGTCAGTAAGCCGCTTGTATACTGAGCCGGCACGATTGACAAAAAAGTGGTGCCTGAGGCTAGAACGAGCTGCAGTAAAGTTAATCTTTTCACGAACTCACTTTAGAAGTAGCTGGAAGGCAAAAATTGGAAATTAAATCAGAGAACTGAACTTTGAATTTGCTGCGGCTCCCAGACAATACCTAACCATATGGGCGCGGCCGCGGCGAACGCGGCCGAGTCGATTGTGCCCGCGAACCGTTGAAAACGCACTCGAGGTGCCCGCGAACTGTGCTGTGCTGAGTTCGCGGGCACCTATCAACTCGGCCGCGTTCGCCGCGGCCGCGCCCTAATGGTTAGGTATTGTCTGGGGCCGGGCATCTGGATTTTACTGACTGTGACAATATCATTAAATTTCCTTCTGAACGAGAGCGGTTCTAACCTAGCGCTTGAATACGGGACGAGGAGTCAGGCACTGATAGGTAAGAAAAGCCATAACAACGGAGGAACAGTTTGCGCGTGAAGCGTGAAGCTCACGTATTATGATTAATACACAGTAAATCAAGTAGTTAAACTCACGTATGAGGTATCGATTGTCCAGATGTTGTTGCGGAAGACACTGCAAATATTGCATCGACTGGGCTGCCTTAGCTTCGATCTGAAAATAGACAACTAAATCAGAATACTTGAATTAGGACTGTGGCGCTAGTGTACTTGGAAGGAGGGATCCAGAACACGAAGGCACAACTACCCCGCAGTCCCTGGGAGGAAGGGGGAGCAAGAGGAAGAGAGCGTGGAAGCTTACCGGCCCCCCCCCGTTTTCATTTTCCTTCAGCAGGATCCATCCTCTCCTCTTAGGCTCCGCCCTCTTAGCACACTATCAGCAAGACTAATTCCGAGACTCGACTCACCCTAATGAGCTTCTTCTTCTTCTCGTAGTAATCGACAACTGGAGCCGTGGCAGTTGTGAAGGTCTTCAGACGCTTCTTGATCGTATCCATGTTGTCATCAGCACGTCCACTACAACTCATGACAGATAGTGTAATGATCTGTCAATAGAGACAATTAGGCTGGCAGTTTACCTTGTCTTGGCTCGATGTAGAAGGCGTTTAACCAGAACATCCTCTGGGACATCGAAAAAGATAACAGATTTTGCCTCTTGGATCTAAAAAGTACCTGGACTAGGAAATGATGAGATAGCCCCATTTCTTCAAGGACACCGACCTCGTTCTCAAACTGCTCTCCTTGCTTCACCTCCCGAGGATAGCCATCTATAAGGAACCCTTTGGAACCCTTGGCAACTTCTTTTAGCATTGCCTCTTTGATCAGATCCAAAGACAATTTCCTGAAGGCAATAGTACAGTCACATTGGACTTGTTGAGGAAAAAGAAAAAGCAAACCCTCACTCACAAGAGGTACCAACTCGCCCGCTTCCATTATTTTATTGAGCTGAGCTCCTCTTGGTGAGCCTGATTTGACCTGAAATTTCAACAGATTGGAAAAAGGGGTTGGATACCATCCATTTCATTGTTCACTTTTTGTGCATGATCAAAGATGTCAGACAAATATTTGAGACAGCCGGAAGGTAAAAAAAAAATTAGAGAAACGCAAACAGGGGCGTTTAACTCTCCCCACTTTAACCCTGACTTAGAAATTGTGACACTAGTGAGCCGACAGTAAAATTTGCTGAAGTTACCTATCTCTTAGACAATGTTAGTTGCCAGAACGAATTAGATGAGAATAGTGTGTATTGGCCACCGGGTCTTCTCAATGATGTTCCTTTTCCGGAACCTGGGCCTCCCTAAAGGCAGGTAATATTGATTTAGATATCTACAAAAGAACATCCATGTCCACAAGTTTTAACGCGATTCTACACATCACAGTGTCTACAAATGAGCGAATATCTCACACCGGATCTTATGGCCCAGAAAAAAGAGCTTGATATAAATTTTTTCAATAGGTCGCCGACTTTTGCGGAGGATAATGCGATGGTATGGCTGTTGCGGGTACAGGACGGGTTTACATCGAATAAAAGGGTCGAAAGTACTGCGTCGAGGAACGGTCATATAGCGTCGTTGATCCAGTCTATGAGCACCTAATCCTTCCAGCAGAATCGCCGAATCGCACAAGTGGCGAGCTATGAACGGGGCCTAAAAGTCACCGCGCGACGTCGCGCCTCCCCTTCAAATTTCGCGCCTAGCTCGGTGAGTGCGTGTACTACGCATCTTCCGCGACAAGTGAATATGAAGCAGTGAAAGCTAGCAGTGAAAACAATTGCAGTGCGTATGTCCTTTCATGGCGAAAGAAAATAAGTAGGAAAACACAATAGGTGCAGAATGGCGAAGTAAGTGCTTTCGTGAACCTATAACAAACTCCAACCGCGTTTATTAAGAAGCTATCTTAGTTGGGGGAAGGGGGGGGGGAACCACGCGGCATCGCGGCACTCTGTGCTGCTCCAAGGCTTAGTCCCCGATGGCGCGTATTTCGAAACTGCCAGGTGATGGCGAAGTAGTAAGACCGCCGTCACACTCGGCGACGGACAAGCGATGGAAGCGATTGCGATCGCTCCATCGCTTGTCCGTCGCCGAGTGTGACGGCGGTCTAACTGCCCCTGGGGCTGAACTTGGACGAGCAGACGAACAGAGCGCCGCGCTGCCGCGTGGTCCCTCTAACTACGATAGCACCTTCTCTCATGGATAATTAACTGAGGAAATTAGCAAGCATTGTCCCGCTCAACATGAGTTCGATACGATTTACATTCTGTACGATGAGACATTTTGTTCCCGTCTTCCCTGCGCTTCTAATGCTCATGCGCACGCGTTACGGATCTCCTGGCAGCGTGGTGCAAAAATCAGTGGGCAAAAAGTAGATACGAAGTTTACACATGGTTCCATGTGAAATTATAATAGTGCAAGTGTTAAAAATAGGAATCTGTAATAGTAAAATAAGTTTACCGACGATGAAGAATATCGGTACATTGGCCTTCTTTAGCGGTGCTAGATCAATCGATTTCCTCTGGATGCTCAACGTCTCTGATCTAAAAAAGCACGTTTCATCCATTTTCTATTTTGTAAAACCAGAACAAAAATTTGAATTTGACATAATTGAAAAAAGAATAGAAAAAGTGACTACAAACTTTTTAGTTGCGACGTGCTTGTCAAGATGTTGACAGACCACGGTGAAAATTTCGTCGACGGTGCCATCTGCTTTGATCTAAAACAGCAAAGTCAAGGGAAAATCCGCGAGAAAATGAGCACAACAAACCCTTATGAGCTTCTTCTTCTTTTCGTAGTAGCTAACCACTGGTGCAGTAGCAGTTGTAAAGGTTTTTAGACGCTTTTTGATAGTTTCCATGTTATCATCGGCACGCCCACTGTAACTTATAATATAGCTCTAGTGTTAAGATAAATACTTATCCACTATTACAACCCCAAAATCTCAAAATTTCTATTTTTCGTCGAAACTTTGCCTATAGGGGTAATTCGATGCCCTGATTACGAAAATGACATTCATTTTTGGAGCTGGACGCCATTTGAGGCTGCACCAAACTCGTTGTAGATGTGCATAGAGGGGTTGTTTAGTGTCTTGTTTACGAATATGACATCCGTTTCTGGCATTATCGCATATTTTCTGCTCTCTTGGGTTCTCTTACAATGCCAAAGACTAAGTTTAGGTGCGAGGGGAGACTCTGGGGGTGGGTAAACCTCACACCGTGTGGCAAAAGTTGAAGGGTGTGAATCACGGGGGGGGGGGGAATTACTCATCTCGAAGCCCTTCTTTCTAGGTGGCAGAGGATACTTCTCGGGCAACGATTCTTACCTCGGGCAAGACTAGGGATCTAAATTTGTACTATTATAACTAACGCTGGCACTAATCAACTATTACAAACACAAAATCTCAAAATTTCATTTTTCGTCGAAAATTAGCACATAGGGTTAATTTTATGACAGGTTACGAAAATGATATTTTTTGGCGTTGGTGCCAGTTGATGCCGCTGGTCATCCACCAAATTCGCTGTAAAACTTCTGTATAAGGGTGAATTGGTGTTTTGTATTCGAATTAGCATTCATTTTGGCGGTGGCGCCACTTGGCTCCTATTCTGTTCGTCTGCACCCTCTCTATGATAAGGTCGCAATAAGTCCCAGGGTGAATACAGGTCGAGGAATTCCTCAACTGGCCCTATACTGTGCGAAAGTCGGGGCCGAGAGGTGAACCTACGCGCGGACGAGCCGGACGGCTGCCGGCTTAGGTTACCAAACCCACTGCTTCTCCCTCCTAAACTAACAAGGAAAGTCCCTCGAGTCGCCATGGCCATTCGAGAAGAGATGTATACTCAGGTATGCGTCTTGGAACGCTGATCTCGAATCCGTCTCCCAAATCTGCTAAACGATCCGGAGAGAGAAGTTAGGGGGGTGGTTTCACCATGGAGGTCCAGTTCTTAATGCTACTCGACAACCAAGCAGTCGTGCTTCGGTGGCGCAGCCGGTAAGCTGTCGGACTTGCAGGAGCAGCACCAAGGTTCGGATCCTTGATGCATGTGTTGCTTTTGCATTTGTCTTAAAATATTTTTTAAACGTTTGCAAAACAGTTTCGTAGCCAACTTTGACTATTCCAACCCTTCTCTTGCCTACATGAGGGTATAAGCGCTCGTGACTCCATTATTCGGCTTGTATCTCTAGTGTACTTCTTGTTCAAGGCACCAAGGTTTAAAAATTTTCTTTCGTACTCGTGGCATGCAGCGGGGTACCTTGATTCACATCCGGGTGAATTTGAGACCCCTGTACAATACTGTTTTTCATCCCAACTGGAGGGAATGTGTGAGAGCGATGGATGCAGCGAGTTTTTCTTTATCCGATGTTCGCACTGTGAAAAGCTTTTCTGCTTCACTCATTTTGTGATAGATTATCACATATGCTCAGCAGGTGTTTCTGAAGCATCACTGTAAAATATGCATGAAATAAATATTCACAATTGGCTTTAAAAACGAAGTCATAGTTGAATAAGTCACAGTAGAAGTAACCTCAGGAAACTAGTTTAGAAAAGGATAATAGAGGTTGAAAGTGGTCAAAGTTGGCTACGAAACTGTTTTGCAAACGTTTAAAAAATATTTTAAGACAAATGCAAAAGCAACACATGCATCAAGGATCGAACCTTGGTGCTGCTCCTGCAAGTCCGACAGCTTACTGGCTGCGCCACCGAAGCACGACTTCTTGGTTGTCGAGTTGCATTAAGAACTGGACCTCCACGGTGAAACCAACCCCCTAACTTCTCTCTCCGGATCGTT